AAGCATGCATATAGGCTGAAAGTCTAAACCCTGCAGCCTTCATTGACATAGCTTATCAAACACATGCTTGTTAAATCATTACAGCTCATTTATAATGTACATGCAGAGAGACCCATTCAAGCAGAGCTACAACTTTTTATATTTGTGCTCCGTTATTTAAAGTGATGTGTAGTGTGGGAAGAACGCAAAATACATTCACGTGTTCGTGCACAGCATGGTGCCTTGCAGTTTGGCTCTAAATGAGCTATAAAAAAACAAACAAATGCACAGGCCTCCCATAGGAAGCCAAACAGCGCTCAGCTTAGTAGAGATTGCTTCTGAACATGGTTCGTTTCACTCTCCGTTCTGTGAGTGGGGTTTGTCGAACATGTGGGCAACTTTGTTCACTGACCTAAATTCATTAAAAAAAGTGCCACTTTTTATTCAGCCCACAGTGAGGGCTGTTTATTATGAAATTTAGCTCTTTCCTGTTATGCGAAATGCTGATAATAGAAATTTACCCATATTAAGTCAAGCCTAGACAAACCTAATTATTTTTATTCCTGTGTGCACGCTCTGATTTTGAGTGTTTGATGTTCATAAGCACTGGCTGAGGGACAGCAAGAGGTATGTTTGGTTGTTTATATGTAATTTTGTGCGTGTGTGTGTGTGCGCTTGAAAACAGAGAGAAAGTGAGCACTGAAGTCTTCAGCACTTAAATTGTCTGCTTATTTCCAGGGACTGCATCATTTACAAAGTAACTGGGAGCATAAGAAAGAGAAGAAAAGGGCAAAAGAGAAATATGTCTGAAATAGTAATCCAAGGGAGGAATATAATTTGAGAGAGACAAAGAGCTAGTTGAAATGCATCACCAGAAAGTGATTTACGTATATGTCAGTGTTCATGTACAATTCTAATAAAAGCCCATCTTATCCAGCTGGAAGGGTAGGGTAATATTGGCTCAAAAATATTGGGATCACAAATGGAAAGGGAAATGGGAAAACAAAATAAATGTAAACAAATTAGAAGACAAGTGAAGAAAGGAAAATGACTGGAAGTGGTGACAGTGATATATGGCTGTCATATATTTACAACATTGATGAGATACACACCTCAAGAAAAGTCAACATAATATAAGACAATATTAGAAATGTGACAGCAATAACAACATTGTGCCTTCAAAGAATAATAGGAGGATGAATTTGAAAGAGGAAAAATAAACGAAAATATTGGTGGAATAATTACCTGTTCATAAGGGACGTGAGAAAGAGAGGAAACATGAGATGTGGAATTTAGAGAGAGGATGAAGTAGCAGAAATGATTTCAGTAGTAAAATACTGCATAAAATGTAATGGTCTGTATTTATAGTAGGCAGATATTTCTAAAATAAAAGAGAGAGAATTTGAACCACAGACAGTCATGTTATCCCTGGAAATTATCCCAACGAGGTGACATAACATTTAATTTTCTTTATTCAGACAACAATGAAAAACACACAAAATACAAGAGTATATTTCACAACAAACCAAACACCAACGCTCTTTTAAACCTCAGGGTCAAGAACATTAATTCTAGTCCATTAAAATGATTTTATAGGAGATGGCTTCTTAGTACACAATTTTATAGACAGAAGAGATGTGCAGCTAGCACTGTCGGAGTTATGAGGGGTAGGGTTTCATTCGCATGTTGCAGGTGCAGATGTACAACTCCAAATCCATTTGACTCCGTCTTTCATGATTAACAGAAAGTAAATAAAGCTAATTCATTCTCCACTTTCTGTAGGCTTTCAAATCAATTCATCTATCTTCTTTGTAACTTATGAATTACAGTACCGCCATTCAAGACATCAAACACAAAGAAAGGTAAAGAATATTGAATATTGCGGCATGTCACTCAAAATACATCAAATTAAGATGATCAGAGAATTTTTATGTCACATAGAAAACCCCATAACATAATTATAAGGATAAATGCCTTGTCAAACGTACACTCTTTGTCCTTGTATCCCAGTCATACTTTGCCTATAATGCAATCAGCCTTAAGACTAAATTATGCTTGTATGCATTTATAAATACCAGTAAGCTTTGATGTGTTTTTGTTACGCATACATTCAAGAGTTCTGTGTTACTTCAATGCATTAGACCTCACTCTCTCTCTCTCTCTCTCTCTCTCTCTCTCTCTCTCTCTCTCTCTCTCTCTCTCTCTCACCCTGTGCCACTTTAGTGCATCTTTATCACATTCACAAGCCACTGGCTCTGTTCAGTGCACAAACACTGAATATAATAAGGACATAAATCAGTATAGGCATTTATGCATTAATGGTTCACAGATTACAGTAAATGCACTGGTGAACATCCAAGAGGATGGGAGCCAAAAGAGAGAAGAGAAGGGAAGCACACAGGAATAATACAGGAAAATGGGGATATGGGAAAAACAAGGTGCATTCCCCTCTCTGCTCATCCACGCATCAGTCACACTTAGCCCTCATCTCTGCTTCTCCCTCTCATTGCTCCTGGTTGTTCATGCTAAAAGGCTGCAGTGTGTGGGTGTGTGTTGAGAGGCTGGTCACATCCCTGTGTCTCCTGCCACTTTCACTCCCGTTGCTGAATTACCCCTGATTACCTTTAGCTAATTATCATTAGATCTTAGAGAGTGAAATACACACACGCACACATATTACTACTCAGCTCTGCAGAGCCACTGGCAGTTAAAGATCTGAGATATCGCTGGACTGCAGAAAAAAAAAATGAAACAGAGAGAGATAGAACGTTACCTAGGCACATCTCATCAAGGTGTTTGTACTCCACTGTCAAAACATTTCTGTGTAGCAATTATATATATTTTTTCTTTTCTTCACTGAATAGTACATAATTACAAAGAGTAGACTGAGCAATAAATTAGTTCACTTTCTGAAAAGAAGTTTTAAGGGCGTCATTATCCGAAGATAGATCAGTCGTTTCATGAATGTGACAATTGTAGAATTTTCTAGAGAGCACTTACAATTCTACAACGCAGAGTTGCATTGACGAAACCTGCACTGTGGACTATCACTACAACAGTGTAGCCTGGAGGCCTACAGAACTAGTTTCAGAGGCATGTGCTGATATGGGAACTGAAAAATATCCTGACACACAAGTATGCCCTCCAGCCAATGCTCTGCTATTAGGGCGTCTATCTTCGTATCCCCAATGAAAACCACATACACACATACAGACACTCACTGTTCAGTAAAATACCACAATTCCTGAGGGCCCTACTGTGCACCAATCATGTCATATTAACTGAGTTTACTGCTCTTATGTGCAAGGGACCAGACAGTAACACAAAGCTCTCCAGTTGTTTACACTGTTAGCCAGCCAATACAACAACAACATTGTTCATCAGTGCTTGTTGTGAATTAATAATGAACTGGATTTGCTGGGGAGTAATTATTTCATGATGTACTTGAGTAATATTTTATGACAAAGCTGTGTGAGGAACAAGATAGACCATTAAGATTTCATGCTCCTTCATGATCCTAAGACAAAGCCCAGTGAGTCTCAGTGTGTCAGTGCTCTGAATGTGTGTCGTGGATACTAGGCATGACAGTCATTTCTGCCACCAAATTTGAATCCAATAGGTTCATCAATCTTCCTTCTTTCCTTTACTCGTCCATCTGCCACTCTCTCCCTTTTCCATTCTCTCTCCCTCGCTCAGTAAATGCGAAATTGAAAGGCAGAGATGGGTACTGTAGGTTACATGCACAGGATGGCAAAAATGCTTAGCATGGACACAAACGCATATATATATGCAGCGACACACTCACCCACAAACGTGCATGGGCATACAAAGCGAAGCAAAGATGCATCACAATTCTAATAACTTTAAAAATGGAGGACATCTGTACCATTAGCAATATTAACAGGCCCGGAGCATTGGAACTGCACAACCCTACTCCAGGTGAACATTATTACTGTCCATTTTCAGCATTTACTCAAGTACGTCGGGGGATGGAGGTCAGTGCGAGCATGACAGCGGCACTGATATAACCTCTTATCATCTACCATCATAATCTCTTCCCTAATGTGACTGCCCCATTATACCGTACGAGAGACCGAGTGGGAGGGTGAGAAAGGTGACGAGAGAAGGGCAGCGGGCTGTGTATTTGTCTGGTTTTATTTCCGCTAGACATTTGAATAGCCCTTACGCTTTTTTCACCATCTACGAGCATTGATTGGCGGAAAATCCCCAATACGTTTATTGATTTTAATTAGCCATCTTTGTCCTTATTACTCCTCCTCTGCTCAATTCCCTTTACATTAGCTGTGTGCCTTGGAAATGCTCCCTGTCTCCTCTCACACGCGGTACTATGGGCCTCCGCTGATCCATCTTCAGGCTGCTACGTCCACATGGTGCATTATATTTCTGCAATAATGTTTTTGATCACTCCCAATCTCTGACTGGACCATGAAAAAGCAATTAGACTGGGAGTCAGTGGGACCCAGAGGAGACTTTAAACATCACAAACACAAATCAACCACGTCAGGCCAAGGAATTTAAACCGATTCAGCACACCACGATACAAAGAGAGTCAGTTGCTGGTTCAGAGGCTTAGTCCCAAAGCAGCGGTTCTAGTAAACATAAACAACAAACACTCACAGTGGAAATCTAAACATGAAAATTATGCATAATTTAAAAAAACTGTCTCAGAAATCCCTTTACCTAATATAGATTATTAAGTTGAAAAAGACACCCATCATTTGTTGCCCTTCCTCAGTCTTGTCAACAGTGTGACCCAGTTTGCAACAATACGTGATTCGATTTTTCCGTTTTTGGTCCTGGCTATGGCTTAAAGCAGCCTGTAAATGAGATTTTCCACTTAATTCTGCACACTGAACTTGACTTCACTATTTTCAGAGTAGATATTCTTTGAAATAGTTCTTTTTAGGTCAAGCCAAGTTTAAAGATAAAATGACCCACTGTGAATATTAAAGTCTTTCCTGTCCTGGTCCTCTAATTCACTGAAAATGTTTTCTTCACAGGTAGTACGGTGTCAAAGATGAGGGGTTGCAACATCCCAGACATCCATCTATTCTCATTCAAAAAAACAATATCAACATGATGTCAACTTTGATGGACACACTGCAACTTGAATACACATCATCGGCTCGGATATTCTCTTGGTGTACAGAAGTGATGAAAATTTTGGCTGTTTCTATTGATTGACACTGGAAAAAATTCCCAGGGTTTTTCTGGTTGACGTTATGCTTATTTCAGTGCCTACAATTTATAGGAATCCAACAAATAAAGGGCTGCAATTTTCATTGATCAGTTCATTGAAGTTAAAGGACATAAAGGATCAAGAAGAAAGACCTTGAGCACTATCAGTTTCCTATCTTAAATCAAGAGGACGAGTCAACCACCGCTCAAACACTGATTGTTCAGATACCAACCAAAGGACAATGTGGGATACCCGCTAGATGGTAAGAAAAGTTATTTTTGTAAAAACTAGCCAACTTAAAAATGATTGGAATTCTTGAATGCCTACATACTGTGGGATGAATTTAGTGTCAAAATGAATGATTAACACATGCAAGCACAAATATCAATGAACTTGATTAATGTTGCAGAAATGTTTTTCCATCCACTACTAAATGTTTTTCCAGCGTGTGCAAAATTCAAAATTGAATGAATGTGTTGCAATTTGTACAAATAGAGACTTTTTCTTTTGTATTAGTGTATCATAATTTGAGCATGCAACAAAGAAGATGTGCATGTTTGGATCAGGTGACACGTGCATTCATTGATTTCTTTTCTGAGTCAATCTCATTTGATTCATTTGGATTTTGAGACTTTCTTTTCACGGTTTTTAAGCATTTCACAACCCACACACAAACAACTACAAATGAATAGACCTGGTGCTAGTTATTAATGTGTGCACAACTACCCATCTATTTGACAAATTCGCAAATGTGCGTCACTACATTTAAACTAATACAGTACAACTTGTGTGTGCAAAATCCAGAATCACGTGAATGTGCAGCATTTTGTACAAATAGACACAGTTGTTAATTCAAAACCTCGATTTTGTATTAATGTAGCTCAGAATTTGCACATGCAACAAGTAAGATCTGCTATTGTGAAGATGGTAGAGTCAGAGTTTTGCACAAACAAAATGAGAATATGGATTCATCATGCCTTGTTACCACTGTGCAGGCTGGTGGTGGTGGTGTAATGGTGTGGGGGATGTTTTCTTGGCACGCTTTAGCCCCCTTAGTGCCAATTGGGCATCATTTAAATGCCACGGCCTACCTGAACATCGTTTTTGACCATCTCCATCCCTTTATGGCCACCGTGTACCCATCCTCTGATGGCTACTTCCAGCAGGATAATGCACCATGTCACAAAGCTCGAATTATTTCAAATTGGTTTCTTGAACATGAAAATGAGTTCACTGTACTAAAATGGCCCCCACAGTCACCAGATCTCAACCCAATAAAAAGCACCTCCAATTTTGCCCTATTTAAATAGTTACATGAGTAGTGTAACTCGACCAAGAATGGTGACACAAAATAAAACGTTGCGCTTTTCTAAGCGTGTAAAGTGGATAACTATAATGTATGGCAGAATACCACAGCAAGTGCTTGGGAGCACTTCGACTCAGCGAATATATATCTATGGACTCGGCGCAGTAATATCATCACTTGTGAAAAATCCTCTCCCACTCCGGAGTGATGATATTACTGAGCCGAGTCCATAGATATATAGTCAAAGTGCTCCCAAGCACTTGCTGTGGTATTCCGCCATACATTATAGTTATCCAATTTACACGCTTAAGAAAAGCGCAACGTTTTATTTTGTGTCACCATTCTTGGTCGAGTTACACTATTCATGTAACTGTATTTAAATAGGGAAAATGTGGAGGTGCTTGGTCGCTTCTCTGCTTGTATCCTATTGAATGAACTGGGCTAGTTAAGTGCTATCAAAGTGTCTCGCGCACCAGAGCGAGTGCACGCACTGAGACGAGAGAGGTATGTATTAACTCGTCTTAGTTAAGGGAATAACAGTTTAATATGAAAAAACGGTGGAGTATCCCTTTAATGTGAGTGAATGCACAAATGAATGCACAAATTCTGAGCTACATTAATACAAAATCTATTTGGTGGATCAAAAGGTGTCTATTTGTACAAAATGCTGCACATTCACGTGAGTCTGGATTTTGCACACACAAGTTGTACTGTATTAGTTTAAATGTAGTGATGCACAGTTGTGAATTTGTCAAATAGATGGGTAGTTGTGCACACATTAATAACTAGCACCAGGTTTATTCATTTGTAGTATGAGTGTGGGTTTTGAAATGCTTAAAAACCATGAAAAGGAAGTCTCAAAATCCAAATGAATCAAATGAGATTGACTCAGAAAAGACATCAATGAATGCACACGTGTCAACTGATCCACACATGCACATCTTCTTTGTTGCATGCACAAATTATGATACACTAATACAAAAGAAAGCCTCTATTTGTACAAATTGCAACACATTCATTCAATTTTGAATTTTGCACACGGAAGTTGAAAGGCATTTGGTTGTGGATAGTAAAACATTTCTGCAACATTAATTGAAGTTTATTGACATTTGTGCTTGCACGTGTAAACCATTTTGATACTATATTCAACACATAACATCCTGTCCTAATACAATATGAAATGTGTAAAGAGCTGTGTGGCTGGATAAAAAAATAAAATTGTCCATCAGAAATATATCTTTCTATATTGTCAACAGAATTGAAGTAGAAACTAAAAAGGAAAGGAAATAAAGACTCAAGAGAAGGATCAGTTTTAGACAGAATGAAAATGCAGGATTGACACAGGAGGATCAGCAGGATATACAGAAAAGAAAAAAAAACAGTACGATTAAAGAAGTGTATAAGAAGAGATTATAAGAGATTAGAGATGCACAGTGGGCGGTTACAGAGATGGCCGGGATGAAAACCTTCTTCAGAGCAGAAAAACATTTGAGTGAAGAATAGAGAAACAGACTAGAGATGCAGAACAGAGGGAAAGTAAAGGTAACCTGCCTACATACAAATGTTTCAAACTGTGTAGAAGGCTAGACACAGAGCTTCTCGCAGTCACTCTGCCATCTAAAGGCAAACTCACAAGTTGTTTTACACATCAACTTCTCAGGGCTTAAAAACTAAAATAATCAATTTGTTCATCAGTATTTTTGCATTCCTTCTGTAACATTAATGTTCCAAAAACAGTTTGATTAGAAATCAAAAGAGCCCTATAGTCGGAGCATCTCTAGTCAAGTTATTTTTTACCAAAGGCGTTACTTTACATACAAATCAGAAAACCACACTATAAAACCCCATTGGAAAATCTGAAAAAAAACAGCACCAATTTGTCTTCCAGTTTCTGACATCATACTCATCATTCTATTATCATACTTGCACCATTCTATTAACTGGTTAATCTCGATTGCAAATAAGCGTTTCTTTTCAGAACTATTTTTTTTTCTCTGTGTCCTCAAGCTTCCACCCCTCTTTGTGAAAATACACTGTCAGGCCTAAGAGACTGCTGATTTTTTTATTTCTAAAAATACCCAAATGTATACACACTGGGAGAGCCATTAAATATGACATTTAAATTGCTCCCATTTTCATGCAGCCTGCCTCATTTAAAAAGAGAGACGGACTTGAAAAGGAGTGACAACAATGATGTCTGATTATTAAAAAAATACCATTTTTTTGCTAATTGTTTCCTTAGAATGTTAGAAATGTTGTCTGAAATCATAACAAACAAGATGAAAGTGTTTCCAATAAAATGGGATCATTTCCACAAACAAGCTTCCAATATTAGCTAAGCTCTATTGGTCAGTTTAGCATGGGTACTACAGTTTAAGGGTTTGTTTTGCATGTAGTTGCTGCCTAAGGTAACAACGTTTGTAACCAAGAGACAGCCAACCATTTCCCATCTGGCCTGGCCTGCAACACAAACAACCTTGAGTCCAATCCCATAGGATGGAAGGCAGCAAAAAGAATGAAGCCCCAGCACAGAGTCATACCAAACCTTCACACACAAATACTGGATTACTGACACAAGTATGTTAATGTCTCAAAATTGTGTACAAATGCACATTTTAGTTAACAAAGAATATTTCTTAAATTCCTTTAAAAAGAGAAAATGTGCAACAAGTTGGAAATTCTCAATGATGCTTTCAAAACTAATCACACATCATCAATAGCAATTTTTGATTAAAAAATCATCCTTGATGTCGAGACAGATAAAATTTATATTGGTGGCACATAATCAATCAATTTGTTAACAAAATTGGATGTACAAGATCAATGAATGTAAATATATTTAGTGTAAATGCAAGTACTGCATTCTTATTGATAAACCCTGATGCAAAAACGTATTGGTGATTTAAAAAATATATCTGGCTGTTTTTGTTGTTGTTGTTTTTCGTCACAATAATGCTGAATGTAAACTTTTTTACTTTGATACATTTGATAAAGACCTAGGTCTTTATCAAATGTATCAAAGTAAAAAAGTATAATTCTATAAGTTGAATTATTATTTTTTAATAATTTGCCGCTAAATTGCAAATATTCTTTGCCTTTTTTCTCCTATTTAACATTGATAAGAGTCACAGAGAAGGCTTGCAGAGAATACATACACAGGAAATTCACAATCCCCGGCCATCTAGTCAATGATTGGTTAAACAGAGTGAAATCTCTGTTGGGTATTCCATGTAGTCTCTCTGAATAATTCATGCTATTTTGAAAACAATAACAACCATGAAACAGCATCCATTATGCATGTCAATTTGTTGTAAACGTCTGTGGTTTTTCATCTAAATCTCAATTGCAAATCAGACCGAAAATGAGAGCTCTATCTGACCCTTCCGTGAACTTTCCAAAAATTGAGCTAAAATTGAACTAGTGATTTATTCAAAAACTGTTCCTTGTACCATTTGAATTGAAATTATTACTTAAGGTCAATCCAGGAATAAACCTGTAATTGTTTTTTCCAGAAATTCAAATGTCAATCACATTATAATACAAGTTCAGAACGACCACCTCAACACCTACCATTCTCAGTGTATAATGTAGTAATCTCAAAGTTACATTCAACTCTTTCCACACTACTTTTATGCTCAACCTCAATCCATTTACCTTTTTCTTACAGTCCTTTTTTATTTTAATGTTTCTGTCTAATGCTTCCTATCTGTCAGTCGCTCTGCCAAGGTTATCTAAAAAGTCTTTCAGCTTGACAGATTTTCTTTGCACTTGCTTACTAACCTCTTACCACTTTGCAATGTTTTTCAAATTTAAGCAGATATCCTGTAAAAGTCAGCACACTGTATAACATAAGTGGGCATAATTGCATTGAACTCTAAACCAAATGTAACCTCTTTTTTTTTTTTACTTTTCAATATTTCCCACAGGGCTTGTGATTGGAAGCAAAGAAGGACAAGAAATACCTGCGCTTACCCAACTACAGTGACGGACCAAGAATATTGACTTGAGGCATTGGGTTAAACTAAGTCTGCAGAGAGAGTGGGGTACATTGCCTGGAATTATGGCCACAGAGAGCCTTGTTGAACTCCGCGATTGGTTGTTCCTACTTCTTCTATGCCTGACATTATTGGTTGAAGTTCTCGAGTTTGCAGCAGCAACTGCTGCCGCTGCAGAGGCAGCTCTCGGGGAGGCGGAGCTTCAGGGAGACGTGCCATGCCCCTCAGCTTGCAGGTGTGATGATGGGTTCATTTACTGCAATGACCGTGGCTTGAGCATTATTCCTCCATTACCATTAACGGCAGCTGTGCTATATCTCCAAAACAACCGCATAGACAATGCTGGGCTACCAACATCTTTAGAGCGAAGACTGACTGTGAGAGTAGTTTACCTTTATGATAATGAACTTGATGATTTCCCAACACATCTGCCTCCATCACTACGGGAACTTCACCTACAGGACAATAATATACGAACTTTACCCCGCTCCGCTCTTGCACGGCTCCCCTTGCTAGAGAAGCTTCACATGGATGACAATTCAGTTTCAACCGTAAGTATAGAAGACAAAGCATTCGCCAACAATCCGAGGCTGCGTCTTCTTTTTTTGTCACGGAACCACCTCTCAAGTATACCATCAGGACTGCCTGCATCACTTGAGGAACTCCGACTAGACGACAATCGGATTTCAACTATTCCGACGCATGCATTTCGAGGTCTCTCGTCTCTAAGACGCCTCTTCCTCGATGGAAATCTGCTGGCAAATCAACGAATTGCAGATGACACATTCTCACGGCTGTCTAATCTCACAGAGCTTTCTCTGGTTCGTAACTCGCTCCAGGCACCACCATTAAACCTTCCAAGTATGCATCTCCTTCGCCTCTATCTACAGGACAATGCAATAGCCCACATGCCACGCGGCTCCCTGGATGGCATGCGAAGACTACAGAAACTGGACCTATCAGGTAACAACTTAACGACTCTTCCGAGGGGATTATTCAAGGATCTAGACAGCCTTTCACAATTACTTGTCCGAGGAAATCCCTGGTACTGTGGCTGTAACCTCCGCTGGCTTCATGACTGGTTGCATGAGCGAGGTTCATCAGTGACTGTGAGAGGTTTAACTTGCCATGGACCAGAGAGACTGAGAGGCATGGTACTAAGGGACCTTACCAGTCAATTAGAAGACTGTGAGATCAGTGTAGATACTGCAGGAGGAGTGGTTGGAAATGATGGAGCAAAAAAAGAGAAAGGTTATTTTCCAACACAGCCCCCAGTTACAACAACCCCTCCACTTCCACAAGGATCTCTCTTTACCCTCAGATCCAGACGACCAGGACACAAGTATTCTGATATGGGCCAGGACAGTCTTGGAGGCGGAAATGGGGTTACTGATAAATTGTTGCTAATCAGTGTAAAACCTCTCACACCAGAGACAGTCCACATTACTTGGCAGGCTGCACAGCCAGTTCCCTCTTTCAGACTTTCCTGGTTGCGACTAGGCAACAGTCCTGCAATGGGGTCAATCACAGAAACACTTGTGCCAGGGGACCGCCGTGAGTATTTACTTACGCAACTACAACCCCAGTCAAGTTATATAATCTGCTTGGTGCCTCTCTCTGGAAATGATGGTAAAAGAACCTCTTTCACGGCAACTGGTGGGTTAAACATAAACACAAACTCAGAGCATGAGCCTCCAGCTTGTGCCAAAACAGAGACAGATCCCCTAGAGCAGCCTATTTTAGACCAGGACAGTGATCGGGGAAATGACCAACTGTCAGCGCTACCACTTGCTGGAATTATTGGAGGTGCAACAGCATTGGTGTCTTTGTTCTTAATTTTTGGCATCTTCTGCTGGTATGGACACCGTGCAGGGTACCTTGCACCAGGTGATCACTCTATATACGGTAGAGATGTAGTTGGATCAAGAGGTGCCAGCAAACATTACGATGACTATGTTGAGTCTGGAACCATAAAAGACACGTCCATCTTAGAAATCAGGGCTCACGGCTTTCAAATGACACCAATGTCTGCCCAACAGCCTTTGCAGCCCAAGGCAAAAGTTGAGGATATGACATACATCCATACTATCTTTCCCTCTAATAATGCAACTCTATATAGGAGCACCCTGAACCACACAGGAAATCCAGGCTATGGAACAAATCGAGGATACAGAGAAGGGGGAATACCAGACATAGATTATTCATACACGTGATAGCCTTTTTTTATAACCCACTGCCTATTCTGTTCCTTTCTTTAGGTAAAGCAGTTGGGTGAGGGTTTCTTTTCCCTAGGTTCTAAAGTAGGGGTGTGCCGATTCTAAGGGGACCATCTTTCCCCATTCATCACACACAAAATGTTTTTACTGGGTAGAAGATTTCAAATAGATTTGAAATGAAAATATTTATATTTAAAATGTCAGTTTTCATATACCATTGGAGAATTGGACATTACAAGAAAAAAAAATTATTCACTGTTCAAAATCAGGAGTTAAAGGAGTAAGTTCACCCAAAAATGATAAATCTGTTATTAAGTACTCACCCCCATGTCGTTCCAAACCCGTAAGACCTTCGTTCATTATTGGAACACAAATTAAGATATTTTTGATGAAAGCCGATGGCTCAGGAGGGGCTCGATTGACGGCTATTTAATTAACATTTTGAAGGCCCAGAAAGGCAGGAAAGACATTGTTAAAATAGACCATGTGACTACAATGGTTTAACCTCGATGTTATGAAGCGACGAGAATACATTTTGTGCAAGTATTCTCGTCGCTTCATATAATTAAGGTTGACCCATTGTAGTCACATAACCTATTTTAAAAAAAAAAAATTCTTACTTACTGTCATACTTCAGGATTTAGCATTAAGCTTTGTATTCGTAGACAAAGGTTTGTTTTAAACCTGTAGTATTTTCAAAATACCATGCTTTCTACCCTCATATCCTCGTGAGACGAGAGATTTATGTATTTTTTGTCTGGAAAAAATCCTCAGATGACGCAAAAAAACCTCATTTGTTTGTGTTCCAAAGATGTACGAAGGTCTTACGGGTTTGGAACAACATGAGGGTGAGTAATTAATGAAAGAATTTACATTTTTGGGTGAACTATCCTTTTAAAAAGCTATATGGACAGTGTGCTGCAGACACTGATGCGAAACATTAACATAGTTACGTAAAAATTTTCAGATTGGAACACCCATTCTGAATGAAGCAGGTTTTCTTTCGGCACACCCCTATTCCAAAGTACCCTTTGTGCCTCCTTTAGTCTGGTTTCAAAACATTGTTCTTAATGGGCAAAAAGCCCTCTGGAACATGCTTAAAATACCTATAATAGTCAGAAAGTGCCAGGGATACCACTCTTGGTGTTGATGTTATCCAATATTCAGATGATAATTGAAGCTGTTTTTGCATCTTAGGGTTAGTATGACGATGATGATGTTGACATCTGGGAACAGGTTCATTTAGATATAGTTTTGCTACCTGGACTTTACTGTGTATATATGCACTGGGGGAACTGATGCCTTTCCGTTCTGGGGATACTGATGAAAAAAACAAACAAAAAAAATCTTTTGGGGGAGTGTTATTCAAATTCTGATTCTCCGTTCTCTCTCCCTCCTTTTATGGGCTTTTCCTTTATTCTCTCTATTTCTTTTGCACGCAGCACGAGGACTTTGTTCCCAACCCAGGGAGCTGACAGTGGTGATAATAGTTTTGACAATGAAAGACCTCAAATTGCTTCTGGGTTTCTTTTCTTTTAATGAGAGTGAGAAAAATGGGGTAGGAGGAGACAAAAGGAAAGTGAGGGAAGGAGATGAAGGCACAGCAAAAAAAGGTTTCATGTTCACAAAAAAAATAAGACACTGAAAAAGTGGATATCTTATGTCTGAGAAAAGAAAAAAATAAAATTTTATCAGTAGTTTCACCTGCTCAACAAAAGACAACCACATTTAAATTATGATGGAAGATATGACATTAAAATCTGAGGTAATTTAATCTAAATAGAAAGAGGCACGACAATCATGAAAGGGGGCAACCCTAATTGATAAAGGAACCCAAACTGACAGGCTGACACAGATAACACAGTCAATTTAGCATGTAAAAAAAGTAAACTAAAGGGCAAGGCTTGTTGATACAGAACACACTAGAGAATATCGTGGCGACTAAATCTATTAAAGTAGATGACAAATGATCGGACAACATTGACACATGTCAGCTCATTACAGTCTTTGTGTGTGTAACGCTGAGGTGCAGGAAAAACAGAAATCAGGGATTAATAAAATATGTAACACTGTGAACCTCTGCATCTCGTGTGTGGGCTAAGAAAGAAGAGAGAGAACAAAGGTCTTTAACTGATTAAAGACAATCCACTTTTTTTCCACACTTTGACTTTGTGTGACTTAAACGCAGCATTAGCCGGGAGAGTAGAAAGGTAGGAACACTAAAAGGATATGTGTACCGGATCTGCAATTTTCCAGCCTTTTCTGATGCATTTTAAATGTGAACTATTCAAAAAAGTAGTACATGTAAATCACTTCTTTCTCTCATTATAGATATGGAATACCATCATGATGAATAGTAAATAAAGCTTGTTATCTTTTTCATTTATATATGTGTCATTAAAAGTTGTGATGAAACACTTTGTTGATGTGTACGCAGTTAATAGAAATAAATGATCTATATACGTTCTATCATAATACATAATCTATCCAAGCAAAAAATGTTTGCCCAGTCCTTTAAAATAATAACGAATGCACCCATCTATTCTCTTCTCACCCAATCGTTCATGTGTGAGGCATAACCCCCTTTGTCAGTTCCCTAAGGGTCTGATGAATTTGAACAATTTAGAGAAAATCTCCATGGTGGCATTGATAGGCATATCTGGCACAGGCTCATCCTCTGGAAGAGTGAATAAAGAAAAGAGTAGCCAATTGCATAATGTCTGTTTAAGCGCAAGCATGCCTCCAATCTGGATAGTGTGGTAATGCCTGTGTAAGCAATGCAGAGATCAATATAATGAGGGGGGGGCTTTAAGCACAAGCTCTTCAAAATCTTAATGTGTTCGTAAAAGAACTGCCATGTCCTCAGTGTGTTTTCTCCGACAGTGTAAAGTTCAATTAGTTATTTGCATCTGTTCCCCAACCCAGTTCTCAAATGAATGTAATTCTAGATAATTGGAAAACAGCACCTTCTTCCATAGCGATTTACGATTCACAGCAACATCAAATTATTGAGTGTTATTAAGCATATGACTGCCAAAGAGGCAGTGTAGACATTGACATATGGAAGAAGGCACAGATGTGGCATCCATAACGAACCTTAAAGTAGCTTTTGCCGCTCAAATCAGCAGTTAAAAGGCCAACTTGACAATACCCAACAATTATCTTGAGAGTTTGACAAGTACCAATTACTGGTAAATCAAACACCCAAGAAGCTACACCTATAAGGGCTTCAACAGTGCCTCTCACATTGCACCTAACGCAACCAAACGGAGAATTACAATTACTGCAAGCAATTGCACCAATCCAAACAGCAGGCAGAAACTCTCAGAAGTCGTCCCTGATGAACCACATGCCTCTTTACCCTGCATTTACTACATTGGGTCAATTAAGCTAATTAGACTAGAGAGGAGACCAACAAATTCACATTCCTTCATTGGAGCTAAAGTGGCGATTGATTGTGAGAGAATGGTATGAGGTGGGAGGCTTTTAACGAGGGCTGAAATAATTGCTAAGGGGCTGCCATTCTGCAAACGTGCTCAGATTTTTTTTTTAATCCTAAATCATTCATTCAAAATCCTAAATCGTATCATTAAAGGTTCAGTAACTGAAAGATGATTCCAAAGCCTCAGGCATCAAACAGAATTCTATCACGGCGGCACTACGTTTGGGAATTTCCGGACACTCTAACTGTATCTGAACAGTCATATTCTCATTCATTGTTCACATAAATGCTTACATCTTTTTTTTTTCTTACAAATTGCCTCAGTTTTCAACAAAACAAACTAAATTGGTTAAAACGCTGCATAAAAAAGCTATTGCACTAAAATGAAATTTTCTAAGCGACGCAGACGGAATGAATTTATTAGGGTTGTGTGTGTGACAACCATTTCTCTCCAACAAGCTTGGTTTCCAATTAGCAACAATGTGGCATATGCTGAGAGATGTGAGATTTCTCAGTGTGAACTCATTTTAAATTCGCCTACGCTGGTGAGAGGGGTCTGAACCACCAGCTAAGGATGCTGAGCTTCATTTGCAACAGATAACAGATTTAATGGCTTATGCTCTTTGACAAATAAGCTGCATTTTCAGACCTATTTAGAGATGTCTACACATTTTACATACGCCTGTGTGGCGCTATCCACACTCCCTGCCAAAGCTGTGTGAATATCACAAGCTTTCTGTGAAAGGAAGACATATCCGTGTGAATTATGCATTCCGTTTTACAGTGAAGTCTAAAACTGCGCAGGCAGAAATGCAGCATTACTCCCTTCATTCTTATCCTCTTTCTGTGGGGCTATTTTTCTGGCTTAGGGTAAAGATTGAGTTCTGTACAACACATCTTGGGGCTTTCTAGATTTTTCTGCTGTCAGTAAAAAGTAGACATTTAAAAAAACGAGTAGCCTTCAGCTCATTCACAGCAAAAATAAAATCCATCCCATTTCTTTTTCCTTTTCTCTATTTTTGAGAAATTAAATGAAAACTCTTTGTTTCATTTTAATCTCTACAGCATGGCGTCACTCTTATCTGGGATCGTTTCTGTATCTGTGTCTGAAATATCAGTCATCTGTCTCCGAATATTGACACTTGTCCTCATTTCCCAGAAGAATATGAATAAACATGAAGGGCAAAAGCAATTTCTTCCATGAGCAAACATGGTGCAGAAACACAATCTTCATCAAACAACACTTTTGATTATTTTTTGCGGATAATTTTTTTTAAAATTCTTTTCGTTTACTTTTCAGTCATTTAACCGACAAGGGCATGTGTTTTTCTCACAAACTCAATCACAATACACTATTCAAAATGTAATGCATCTTAATAAACCAATACACGACAGTATATCCTCTCCCACTAAATAGATGGATGGGTGGATTGACAGAGCGATGGATGGCTAGTGGCATAAAAAGGATGTTTATCCCTCCCTCCACCCCTGCTCTCGGAAGGACAGTTCTTAAGTGCTTGTGGATTTTATGTTTACGGTGTTTTATAGGGCAGATCCAGGAGCCAAGAGCAGTAAAATGTTGTGAGAGGGAGGAGAGAGAGGACAGGGGGTGGAGGCAATGTTATTGTAAATCCAATCTTTATTGAGAACAACAGACAAACAGTCCTCCCCACTCCAGCCCAACTCTCCATCACCACTGACTGATGAGATGAGTTCTCAAAGTTTCAAAGACTGTGCATTCGTACGTTTTTGCTCAGTTCGACTGTTCTTTAAATCTGACATTCATAACTCTAGCAAAGACACGGGAGAACTACGACCCTCAACATGGTTTAATTCAGCCCACAGGTCAATTATCCTGAAATTGTTTCATAATTCGATATAGCTCAGTAGCACCAAACGAGCATCCCCAAGCATTTAACATGGTCAGGGTTGCCAGATTCCCATCCACACCAAAACATTTAATCAGAGCTTTAAACCAGCAGAATCTGTCCAATATTTGCTTCAATTTGCCCAGCAACCATGAGTATGCTGTCTCCCTCACACTTTCCATTGTGAATGGTGCCATCAAACAGCATGTTGGAGATTATCGACCTCCATAGCTATTTTCTGTTCAAAGGAAAGTCAGCGCTTGGTGCTAATTCCATCTCGGTGATAAACTTTAATAAAATACAGATCTGATTCCCAACCCTGCTCCTATAGTACCTCCAACATTCTGTCTCCCAGATCAAACACAACTGATTCAATTCATCTGCTCTTTAGTAAAGACTCCAAAACCAGAAAGGGTTACATTAAAACTTTACATGAACAAATTCAAAAACAAAATCAAATAGTGAACGGAGTCGCCCAATCAGTCACAGATACACTTCAGAAAATTGTGCATCATGTTCTAGAATAAGTACATTACCTTCTCTCAGAACTAATCGAGAACAACATTGTATCTCAAACGTAATGTTATTCATCTATGTGAGCCATGAGCCAAAAATCTTGCCCACCCTTGGTCTAGCAGCCTCCACAGCTGAAAAGCTACAGATAAACGGATTACAAATAATCACTGCACTGTAAAGTAAAGTAAAGGCATGATCACTTAATAGTAGGGCTGTCAAACGATTAGTCGCGATTAATCGCATCCAAAATAAAAGTTTTTGTTAGGTTTTTGTTTACATAATATATGCACGGTGTATAATTATTAATTATTATATACTGTATATATATATATATATATATAGGCAAGGCAAGGCAAGGCAAGTTTATTTAGCACATTTCATACACAATGGCAATTCAAAGTGCTTTACATAGAAGAAATTAAAATAATCAAAATAAATCAGAATAAATTAAAACAGTTTAGAATAAAAAATAAGAAATAATGAAAAATAAAAATTATGATAAAAATAAAATACAGTAAATTAAAACTATTTAGAATAAAATGAAGTGCAGTAACAGTCAGACGAACAGTAGCACAGTCCTCATTCAGTAAATGCACAGCTAAACAGATGTGTTTTGAGTCTTGATTTGAATGTGACTACTGTAGGAGCACACCTGATCTTCTCTGGAAGCTGGTTCCAGCTGCGGCTGGCATAATAGCTAAAAGCAGACTCTCCATGCTTAGAGTGAACCCTTGGTATTTCTAGCTGATGTGATCCTAATGATCTGAGTGATCTGTTGGGTTTATATTCAGTGAGCATATCTGCAATATATTGAGGTCCTAACCCATTAAATGATTTATATACCAGTAATAATACTTTAAAATCAATCCTAAATGTAACTGGCAGCCAGTGTAAAGACCTGAGGACTGGTGTGATGTGTTCATATTTTCTGGTCCTGCTCAGAATCCTGGCAGCAGCGTTCTGTATGAGCTGCAACTGTCTTATGGTCTTTTTAGGAAGGCCAGTGAGGAGGCCATTACAGTAATCCACCCTGCTGGTGATGAAAGCATGCACAAGTCTTGACTGGAAACAAAGCATCTAATTCTTGAAATATTTTTCAGATGATAGTATGCTGATTTAGTTATTGCTTTGACATGACTATTGAAACTAAGGTCTGACTCTAGTGACACACCAAGATTCCTGACTTGATTTTTAGTTGTTAGACCCCTAGCGTCAAGGTATGCATTCACCTTAAGAACTTCATCTTTGTTTCCAAACGCAATAACTTCAGTTTTGTCTTTGTTTAACTGCAGAAAGTTGACACATCCAACCGTTTACTTCATCAATGCATTGGCATTGGTTTATTATATATAAATAAACACACGCATGCATGTATATTTAAGAAAAAATATTATTTATATATGAAATATTTATTTTTTTAGATAATATAATTATATATAAATCTATATACAGTGTATACATGAAAATAAATATATACAAGCATGTGTGTGTATTTATATATATAAAATAATTATCCACAGTGCACCCACATATATTATGTAAACACAAACTTTTATTTTGGATGCGATTAATTGTGATAAATCGTTTGACAGCCCTACTTAATAGTATACACTTAATAATATAGGTAAGAGTGGATTTCATTGAATAGTTTTTCCACATAAGTTACTATAAATCTAAACTTGCTCTTCTAATCCACCTTTTCTTGCAATGTGGAAGTAAGCTACTTTCTGTGAATCAGAGACTTCCCTCTCATTAGGCATTATAGGTAAAGAAGAAGTGAACGGTACAAGCAGTGTGTTTATAATTACGACAATACAATACGGTAAGAAATATCAATTTGCAATACCAAGCACCATAACAAAGGGGTTTCTACAGCTAAAAAAAGAACTAGAAGTAATAACGGGCTCCTCATCTGAAACTCCTCTTTTTTTTAACGGTTGATGTCACCAAGCCCTCTTATTTTTCAACCTGTCATAGGTAAAATCAATGCCTCTCTTTTTTCCATTTCACTCATTAATGTCACAATAAGTTGCAAATGCCACTTCAATTTGTAGGTATATTACAAGTAAGTTACATTATTCCTGCAAAATCTGCTAAAGCAACATGGTATAAAAAAATGCCAGATACAAAAAGTGCGTGCTTACACTCAATTGGGTACTTTGGTAAGTGAGATGCATATACTTAGCAGTCCCGAGAAGTTCATTCCAACCTCCAAATTAATGACCACTGGACAGTCTGTTAATCCTCACGCTTTTACACCGAGACCTACGGCCATCCGATCAATGCGTCAACTGGGAGAGATGAATCAATGCCCTGTCAGACAAACTCCTCTATCTCTCTTAATGCTCACTCTCAGTCCTTTGCCTTTTCAGCTTCTTTTCCTCCTCGCCCACTTCCTTCCTTTCAACTCATGCATTGCATACCTGTTTAAATGAGCTCCATTAGGCCATCTAGCAGCAAGCGTCCTATGTGGCAATATGATTGCTAAAACATTAACCAGTCATTGCTTTGCTTTATGGCAGCTTAGAGGTGATGATGGAGAAATAATAAACCTGAGCACTCTACTAACCCTGTATGAATATGCTAATGTCAATATGCTAAATATCTGGAATACGCTGACTCTAATAGCTGTAGATTAATTATGAAATTGTTTTGTTCCCTGACCTACAATGGACCCGATTCAGGTTAGACGGCATATTTATTTGAACACAAATGAAAACAAGGCTGTGAGAGATGTACAGTCCTTATATCCCATCACATTTTACAGTCAATCTTTCGTAATGATGTACTTCATTGTTGAACAACTGACACCAAGGCACACATTACGACAGTAAATCTGTCCCTCATATCTTTGTTTCTTTTGTGCAAAATTAAATATGGCTACTCTGACTAAAGTTTGTATGTTTTGCATTGGCGTAGAATACGCAAGGGCCGCAAATTCGTCCCCCACATTTTTTTTCAGGCAAGTGTCTTCACGTAGAAGTTTTAATAGGTCAATGAGAATAAATCTAGATTCAATTCAGGGTCAAGATAGTCTATGCATGACCAGACGTTTTATTCTTATCTAAAATGCGGCAATGTAAACATTATGGAGGGCTAAACACTCATGTAATGCATGTTTAATTCATACTGGAAGACGGCTCTCTCACAGAAAGCCCACAACTGACTCGTAGAATTAATAACTTGTTTTTCCTGGAAATAATTTATATGATGTAAAATTGTCATTATTAAAATATAGGAATACATATTATAGAATAGAAATAACTTTGATCTCTTAGCCAATAATAGCAAGAGATAAGACAAAATAAAACCTGTCAATTAGACAATTTTACCTTTTAATACACTAGTGACTAGGCATTTCTGTTTCCCTCACTTCTGGAAGGATGGCTACACCCCTGGTGTTTTTAGTATGTCATCATAGTGCTTGACTTGTCTCTTTAGCTATTTAAAGGATGCAAATGTGAAGCTTGAAAGCTCCTGAAAGTCACTTAACTGCCAAGAACACGCATGCAAATGCCGATGAATGTTCCCAAACTCTCAGGTGTGTCTACAAAGGGACTGACTGTATCCTAGAGACAGAAAGTAAGCTCTACCTCCACATGATCTCTACTGATGAGGACCGCTGACAATTACTGTTCAACTTTATTAAAATAGTACCGGAAAAAGAGTGACGCGGCTGAAGAGAGGGTTTTTGTTGTTGTTCTCCATAAAATAATAATAATAATAATAATTAATAATAATTTGTTACATTTATATAGCGCTTTTCTGGACACTCAAAGCGCTTCACATAGAAGGGGGGGATCTCCTCAACCACCACCAATGTGCAGCATCCACCTGGATGATGCGACGGCAGCCATATTGCGCCAGAACGCTCACCACACACCAGCTTACTGGTGGAGAGGAGAGAGTGATGAAGCCAATTGGTGTATATGGGGATGATTAGGAGGCCATGATGGACAGAGGCCACTGGGCAAATTTGGCCAGGATGCCGGGGTTACACCCCTGCTCTTACGAAAGACATCCTGGGATTTTTTATGACCACAGAGAGTCAGGACCTCGGTTTAACGTCTCATCCGAAGGACGGTGCTCTTTTTGACAGCATAGTGTCCCCATCACTTTGCTGGGGCGTTAGGACCCACACAGACCACAGGGTAAGCACCCCCTGCTGGCCACACTAACACCTCTACCAGCAGCAACCTGGCTTTCTCAGAAGGTCTCCCATCCAGGTACTAACCAGGCTCAGCCCTGCTTAGCTTTAATGGGCAACCAGTCTTGGGCTACAGGGTGATATGGCTGCTGGCAAAAGTATGGCAAAAGTAATAAAAGTATTGAATGCATTTGCTCTCTAAACTCAAGTGGACATTTAGTGCTGAGAAAGGCTTATAGAGGAGAGTTAATTTCAGACAAAACAGGATCACAAACATCCAAGGACAATTATGCCAAATCTTCCTGCAGATTGTATATTTTCAACAAAAATGAAATAAAAAATGGGCAAAAAAAAAAAAGGAAAAACATAAACATTTTTACAATAAACTGCTGAATCTGTTTTAAGTTTATGACGTATGACCAGGCACACAGACTAACACAAGCTGATATATGTAGACTATAATTTTTCCTGTACTTCGACTCTCACCTGCATTGGCAATAGAGTCGATCTCCAGTTTAGTGATGTCACCACTGAAGAGGGATATTTTCTTATTCAACTCTTCATTGACTTGGTACTGAGGCTTACAAGAGGAGTCACCTAAGAAGGAAGCAAACAGTGATGTTAACATATCAACTGTTTTACACAAAACAACCCCAATGTAGTCTACATTCACTTAAAGAAAACAAAACATATTCATCCTTCCAACACTTTCTGAAAACAGACAGATCAAAACAAAACAAAGAGATTCACTTTTGCTATAATTATTATTATACATGATGAGGGTTTTGCTCACCTGATGGACTCCAGACAGGAATCTTCTCCAGAGGAATGAAGTCAACCCTGTACATTTCCCTCCTCTTCTCCTTATCCATGGAGCAAAGCTTATCTACAAAATAGAAATAATTTAAACCAAATCATACCAAAATAAATGAATAACAAAAATGTTAAGTTTTTATTTTGTTCAGAAATGAATCTACATTATTAAGTATTAGACGAGCAGCGTTAAAGTTTGTAAACAAACTTTGATGTTGTCATGTCGAAGCCTTCCGATAGATAGATAGATAGATAGATAGATAGATAGATAGATAGATAGATAGATAGATAGATAGATGTTGTGTCATTCTTGCAAATTAAGATGGCTTAATCACTTCAGAAGATGGCGTTATAATATCATAATTAGGTTAGTTAAATTATATTTATTTCTGTTCCTCTGTTAATGAAGGTTAACAGAGACGGGTGAACGGGTGTGTGATATATCAACACACTCCAGGGAGAGACTCACTCTTTGCCTCTTTCCAGTCACTGTTCTCCGAGTCCAGGTTCAGGCCGGGCCGCGCGCTCATAGCGTGTAGCGTGCTCGTGCGCAGAGACGCCAGCAACGCAGCCGAGACCCCCACGGCGCCTAGGACAACCATGCGGGAGCGAAGTGGCTTAACGGCCCCTCCACTTTGCCAGTGGATAGACTTTGAGGCTGTGGAAACCTTCTCCCACCTGCCTGCATTACGTAAGACCCCCTGGGAGGGCAGCACTTTGATACTTGCAGACCCTCTGCCTTCGCTGCCTAGTGCATGAAAGAAGCGATGTGCAAGTCTGCTGAATAAATTGAGATGACTCGGCCATCTGTTTTCAGTGCCGGGTATGAACCCAACACTCTTAGAGAGTGGAACTCGAGCTGCAAGTCTTGACATCTGAAACACCATGGTCTGGTCTGAGTTGACAGTTGACAGCTGGCAAATTAAACGTTTAAAGCCCGAATGACTCCCGCCTGCGCCTCGATTTTATCCTTCTTTCGATTTGAAGACGGTTGTAAGAAAGAGTTTATAAATTAAAAAGTGAAATTGAAAGTCAACTGTAGAGACAATTCAAGCAAATGGGACTGTACCAATATGTAGGGGTCCATGAGTTAATTCAAGCGCTTCTCGGTATTTGGATTGTCCCGGATCAACATAATTTATCCTTTACTGACATCTAGCGGCAAGACGCTATAAGCGCAATATTTAGTCTTGATGGTCCGCTAGAAATAATTTTGGTTTGACAAGTAGCATTTTCAATGTCGTGATTTTAAAATAAACTTGATATAAATTAGGACATAAAGCAGTCTCAAATGTTTGGAAACGTTATTATTTTTTAATGTTTTTGAAAGAAGTCTATGCTCGTCCAGCCTGCAAAAATACAGGAAAAAACAAACATAAAAATTGTGAAATTTTATTACAATTTAAATAATGGTTTTCTATTTTAATATACTTTAAAATATAATTTATTACTGTCACACGATCCTTTAGAAAACATTCATTCAGCAAGGATGTAAAAAAGTGATGGTAAAATGTATATTGTTAAAATATTTCTATTTTGAATAAATGCTGAATGTTAAAATGCTGATTTCATACTCAGTTATGATCAATGTTGGAAACAGTGTGCTGATTTTTTTTAATGGAACCTGTTATACTTATAAACAGTTAAAAAGAACAGCATTTATTCAAAACAGAAATATTTTCCAAATCTTTACTATCACCTTTTATCAATTTAACACATCCTTGCTGAATAAAAGTATTAATTATCACAGGTTTATATATATATATATATATATATATATATACAGTATATATAATATATATAATAATAAACATTGATAATACAAATCAGCATAATAGAATGTGTGGCACTGAAGACTGCGTAATGTCTGATGAAAAGTCAGCTTTGTATCACAAAAATAAATTATATTTAAAGTATATTCAAATAGAAAACCATTATTTTAAATTGTAATAATATTTCACAATATTTCTGTTTTTCTGCATTTTTGATCAAATAAATGCAGGCTTAATGAGCAGAAGAGACTTAGAATAGTAATGTTTCCAAACTTTTGACCGTATAGGCCTACTGTGTGTACATATAGTTTTTTTTTTTTTTTAAAAAGTACAAATATTGCATGCACTCTCTCAATTAATATGAGGTCTTATAAAACAGATTTATTTGAAGTGGAACTATAGAATTGAAATTCAACTGATCAAAATTATACATTTTACGTTGGAACATGTATAGAAGTGCTTTAGTTCTCCTTTTGTGTGTGTGTGTGTGTGAGAACAACCAGTGTGAAAAGAACATGGTCATGCAGTTCCGTTACACGGAAGCTGAGAAAAGAGGAACACCCTTTTTTGTCAGCTCTGACATACTCTAAAAACCACAACTGATTTTACACAGCAGAGGGGTCTTGCCCATATGAGTGTGTGTTTGCCTGTGTATCTCATAAAGGGACCTAACAGCTTTTAATTGGCTCCACAAAACGAAGACTCTGTCGGCAAATCCAAAGCACAGAAACAGAAAAGGTAACAAAACATTATTCAATATTTGACTCATATTTTGATCTGTAGACACTTTATTTCAGATCATTAACAAACAAGTAATCATTTTGAAAATATGAATAGTAATAATTTATAGTATAATACAGTATGAAACTGATTAAATTACATCTAACACATTTGATATTTACCCGACTAATGTTGCTGTTCCTAAGTCCATTTCAGTTTTCGGTTTCAGTGAACTATATTCAAATTTATCACACACACCCACACACAGACCAATACACCAAAACACCTTATAACATCCAATTGTGGTTTAGATGCTCGATTAAAAGAGGAAATGTGGTTCCATGTGATTCGTGTCGTGTGTAAAAGGGAAGTATCGTCCCCAGTAAACATAACTTGAACAAAATAGCATGATTACACTCACAAGGGATGAAGCATGTGCTGGTGATGTGTCCGTTACCATCAGTATGATCCTGCTAAACATGTGATGTGTCATGCCTTTTAAAGTTCCCATTTTGGTCTACGCTCAACACTGAAATAGAAGTATACAGTAAAGAAGTATGTGATATATTAGTACAGTATATAGCTTTTGTGTAATCAAACCTCATTGGTTCCAGCTTTTTTGGGGGGTCTCTTGGCAGCAGAATGGCAGCGTGGGACCTTACAGTCACAGTGGAGGATCTTGGACCGGACACCCCACCTTTCAAAATCAGTGTGACCTCTGACCTGCACATTGGTGGAGTTATTCTCAAATTAGTTGAGCAGACCAGTGAGTTATATTCTAGATGCTTCAAAAATGGGCTATTATATTTGTTACTAAAAAGATATCATTTTGAAGGGTTCCTCAATCTTTATGTACCCCGTCGCCGTGAGATGTTCTTGGGTCTTATTTCTAGAGCTAAAGAAGGACTGGTCCGATCATGCCCTGTGGTGGGAGCAGAAGCAGCAGTGGTTGCTGCGGACCGGCTGGACACTGGACAAATGTGGGGTCCACGCAGACGCTCGCCTGGTCTTCATTCAACAGCACAAGCCTCTGCGACTGGGCTTGCCAAACGGGGCGACTCTGAAGTTGCGGGCCTGTTTCTCCAGTTCTGTGTTTCGCACTGTCGTGGGCATCTGCAGGGTTCTCAGTAAGTGAGCTTGGATCCAATGTCCCCTCTGTAAGCAATCTGTGTCAGGTGGCCATTTCCAAAATGAATCTTTCTCGCTCTCAGATATTCGTCACCCAGAGGAGCTCTCCTTGCTCCGTCCTGTTGAAGAAAAAAAGAAAAAGAAAGACAAAGATTCCTCAGAAGAGCTGTATGATCTTACAGATGTTCCTCTAACCGCAGGTACACAATACGTTTTTGTTACGCTACCAATCAAAAGTTTGGGTTAAGCAAATTTTTGTTTAATGTTTTTGAAACCTCTGATGTGGCAAGGCTACATTTATGTGAATAAAAATACAGTAAAACAGTAATAAAAGAAGAACAGCATTTATTTAAAGTAGACATTTTTTTAATATACACTTTTGATCAATTTAATTGCTAAATGAAAGTAAACAAAAGGCAACTTACTGACCCAAACTGGAATTGCAAGCCCAAATTTAGCAAGAATAATAAGTAGTTTTCATTTAGTCAAAGTTTTCTAGTTTAAAGTGGATTTTCACTTGACGTAGGTTCTGTTCAAGCTCTGTACAATGGCATGCCGGCTCATTTTGCTGACTCTCCTAAGACTGAGGAGGTGTATAAAATGCTGTCGTTCAGTCTGCCCTCACCTGCTCCTGAAGCCATCGCTAAACTCTACCGGCCGGCCAGTGTGGTGGACAAAACACATATTCACACCAGGTACAGCTGAGAAACAAAGATACACATTAAAAGAAATAATATTCCACAATTCACCCTTAATATAAATGCTCCTCTGTTCCCCGGAGGTGGTTGGATTCATCTCGTTCACTAATGCAGCAGGGAATACAAGAGAATGACAGACTATGGCTTCGTTTCAAATACTACACTTTCCATGATATGGATCCCAAGGTAGAACTTTGGTTATGATATGTATATCCATTTTTTTCTAAGAGCCATGAAACTGAACGAAGTGGAAAATTGATTCTCTCTCTGTTATAGTATGATGTGGTGCGTTTGACGCAGTTGTATGAGCAAGCTCGCTGGGCGATTCTCTTGGAGGACATAGACTGTACAGAAGAGGAAATGATGCTGTTTGGAGCCCTGCAGGTACAAAACCAAAATAATACTGCCATAAAATTGATGTTAGCATTAGAAGGAATAAACACAAAATCGTTGGTAAGCAATAGCATTCTTACATCTACTTCTCTTATTCAGTACCACATAGGAAAATTGTCCTTGTCTCAGGACATGGTCTCTTCCAGTCAAGGGATGGATGACTTAGAGTCTGCCCTGAAATCCCTGGAGGTCAAGATGGTGGGAGACAGCAACAGCACAGACATGCTGGTGAGTAAATCTTCTTCACTTCAATAGAACAGCAACAAAGCGACATGGAGTGACAGATTCAGACATCAGTGAACATCTGATTTACTTTCACAGGACAATATGACTGCTCCAGAGCTGAATGACTATTTGAAAATATTTCGGTAAGGCTCTTTACTTTTACTTTAGGCTGTCAGTCCCATAAACATTTGAACTATGATTTTATGGTGATATGAAACTATGATTTTCCACACTGCAGGCCAAAGAGACTCACTCTAAAGGGTTACAAGCAGTACTGGTGCAACTTTCAGGACACATCAATCTCCTGTTATAAAAGCAAAGAGGACCGCTATGGAGAACCCATGCAACAACTGAACCTGAAAGGTCATTTATTTATTATAAATAAAATAATTTAAAAATATATTTTTTTAATTGCACTTTTGCTACCTGAGAAACACCAATGAAAGTGATTGTGTGAACTGAACATACTGCAGTAGAAAAAGGGAACATAAAAACAATCTCATACAGTATATATATTTTTTTTAATTTGCTGATCATTTACTCACCCCCATGTCATCCAAGATATCCATGTCATTCTTTCTTCAGTCGAAAAGAAATTAAGGTTTTTGATGAAAACATTCCTGCATTTTTCTCCATATAATGCACTTCAATGGGAACCAAACGGTTCAAGGTCCAAAAGACAGTTTCAGTGCAAACCGCAAACTGTTCAAAGGGCTTTAAACGATTCCAGACGATGAATAAGGGTCTTATCAAGCGGAACGATCGCTCATTTAAAAAAAAAAAAAAAAAAAACTAAGTTTAAGTTTTATAAGCTCAAATGCTCGCCTTGCTCCGTTCTGTGTGTTCGTGACTCTCCTGTTCGAACTCTTTTATCAAAATGAACAATTTTTTTTTCTAGTCATTTGGTTCTCTCAACGAACAAATTTAATGAATTGACTCTGAAAAAGATTCGTTCATTTTGATGAACGAGTTCTGACAGGAGAGTCACGAACACACAGAACAGAGCAAGGCGACCATTTGTGAACTACTCCTTTAATAAACTAAGGTCATTGTGTCTACAGTCAGATAAGTGCAGATACTTTACTTTACTGTGTGCAGCTCCCCACACTGTGCAGGTGCAACATGTGAATATGTTTTCACACCTCAGTGGAGGCTGAAACCTAAGCAGACTCATCAGTGTAATGAGACTGTGTTAACGGAAACTAATCTGCATGTCCCCAGGCTGTGAGATTGCCCCTGATGTCAGTGTAGCAGGCCAGAAGTTCTGTATCAAACTCCTCATTCCTGCACCAGAAGGCATGAATGAAATCTACTTGCGTTGTGAAAACGTACGTAACTGTCGTTACATTAATCTGTATTCAAAACTCTGTTAAAAAGTGTTTATCTTAATGTTTTGAAGGACATCTCTTCTGACTTGCTTAAAAATAAGCAAGGCTGCATTTATTTGATCATAAATACAGTAAAAACTGTTTTTTTTATATGAATTTGAATATATTTTAAAATAAAATAAAAATCTGACAAAGCTGAATTTTTAGCTTTTTACTTTTGAATGGTAGTGTCCTTGCCGAGATTTTAACAATTTTTATTTGATTTATTTTTTTTAATTCCCACCTACCCCATCCAATCAGGAGAAGCAGTATTCTCAATGGATGGCCGCCTGTAAGCTGGCGTCCAAAGGCCTGACATTATTGGATAGCTCCTATCAGAATGAAGTGAAGAACATCCAGACATTCCTTTCCATGCAGCGTTCCAATTCTTCAGCTCCTGCTGCACAAACTGATGACAGCATCAACACACACAGCCTCGTCTCACCAAGATACCAAAAGAAATACAAGCCCAAACAGGTAGAGTGACCATGAAAGGTGCTTGCCAGGCATTTGATGTTGTACAATACTGCAATATTTATTTCAGGTCATCTATTCAGTGTTTGTGTTACCTTTATATATATATATACACTGTATACACACTCTAAAAAATGCTAGGTTGTTTTAACTCAATTTTGGGGCTCCTCTGAGTATATATATATATATATAAACTATAGCCTATTTTGCATTAATTTTCACAACCTCACCTCTTGTTGTTTTCAGTTAACCCCTCGTATCCTGGAAGCCTTTCAGAATGTCGCCCAGCTTTCCTTGACATCTGCCATCTTGAAGTTTCTGCAGATCTGGCAAGCTCTGCCTGACTTTGGAATTTCCTACTTCATGGTCAGGTGAACAGACTAACTAAGACTTACAGGCACAAAAAGATGGTCAGCTATTGAAGTACATTTCAAACAAGCTTGTTGGATATTGAATATATATGATAGCATATATAAGAAATAGTAGATATTAGGGCTGTAACAGTATATCGTGCCACAATATATATCAATACAAAAATGCAACAATATCTTTCGTGGATAGTCCCCCCAAAATAAAAATTACTGTGTGAGAAAAAAGTGACAGTAGTACTACATTGAACTACTATATAATGTTGAATATAATGTATAATAAATATGCAATGTGGGAATATTTGTATCTGCTGATAATGCCAAATATCTGATGATACCAGTAAAAAATGTCCGACATTATATTAATATATCTAAGCAGCGAAAGCGTGCAAGCATATTCATCTACAATAATTTAGTAATTTCAGCTTCAAAATCATGAATATTGTTATTCCGGTGTCACCATTGTCCTTGGGTTACAAGCACCGAGTCCAAGCCTATTCATTTAAACCTTACAATGTAATATAGCTAAAGTTTAGCATTTTAATCAACAGTACATTTTTTGTTAACCTTTTAACATGTCTTGGAGTATCGCAATATCGCATTGTGAGTTCAGTATCGTGATATGTATCGAATCGTGACATGAGGTTACACCCCTAGTAGATATGCAGCGGTATGGTAAAAAAAAAAAAGACTTATTTTATAATATAGAGATTTTATAAAAGTCTTCAGTTTCACAATTCAATCATTTTTCAGGTTTAAGGGCAGTCGTAAGGATGAAGTCATGGGCATCGCTAACAACCGTCTGATCCGTATAGACCTGGGAGTTGGAGATGTGGTGAAGACTTGGCGTTATAATAACATGAGACAGTGGAATGTTAATTGGGACATACGGCAGGTGGGTTTTAATAAAATTACTTAAAATAAGTAAAGAAATATGTGACTCTGAAGAATGAAGTAGTAGAGGTTCTCATATAGGCCTAGGTTAATACACTGACTTAGAAATTCAGTCTTTTAAATGATCAACACCTGTCTATTTTAAGGTTGCAATTGAATTTGACGGAAACATTAACATAGCATTCAGCTGTGTGAACGCAGACTGTAAGGTTGTGCACGAGTACATCGGGGGATACATCTTCTTGTCTACTCGCTCACGACAGCAAAGCGACACACTGAACGAGGAGCTCTTCCACAAACTCACCGGCGGCCACGAGGCTCTCTGAGCGCAAAGCAACAACTTACAGAGAAGAAAATCTCTGAAGCTACAAATGGAGGAAATTGATAAGAATTCTATGTTCGCACCGCTTAGCAACTGTCCCTTTGTTTTACTTTTACTGATCAACATATTAAGAATGCTGTCTAATAGTGAAGCATGTTTTCCACATCCTGTTACATAAGCACATCTATGATTCTGTATAAAATCATCTCACTTAATATATGACTGCCTAACTAAAATATAACTAAATGAATGCTTTATAACTTTGTAACTTTTTTAAAACTATCTAAAAACAATGAATTTTGGAATAAAACATGGTACCGCAGTGGTCATTATTAGAAGTGTGTCTGTATTTCTGCCATCTAATTTGAGTTACAGTTCAGGAAACCATTGTCTATCATTGTCTGTCTTATCAGCCAAAGTTCTGTTGGCCAATAGCTCAGCACACAATCTTTGCCCAACAGAGTTTCAGTTACTGTACGAGGGCTATTTTTAAATAGTCTTCAGTGTCATGTTGGGTGGGACAGCTTGGTATTGAGTCACTCAGTTAACAAAGTGTCATCTCTGCATTGTCCTGATGAGTTTCACAGTTGCTGATTCTCCATTATTCAGAAGTATAAATGTAATGCATTGGAATATTGAGCATTATGGTACTATATTGAATTCATTTTAACTATAGGCTACAAAATGTTACTAGAGTGTGTATGCAATAAACACATTTTCGAGCTTCTGGTAATAGTAGTATAATTTTAACTCACTTTCAGACTGAAAAAAACCTCAACTTTACCAAAAATGGGGCAACATTACTACATTATTTTGAGAGTTGAGGATGTTTGCATTTCAATATGATGTGTTGTTTATCACCCTCGTGATGTCCTAAGTTGCTTTGGATAAAAGCATCTTCTAAATCACTAAACATACAAGGAAACATGTAAATGAAAAGTGTAATTAAGTAAAATAAGCTCATATAACATCTAGAAAATTACAGCAAAGTATTTTTCCCTTCTACAGCATTTGAAGAGTTCAGATGCAAAAGCCTCTAAGTGCCATTTGAAATTTTCTTCTAAAATTATCATTTTTATCAAGCTTGTATATTTAAGTTCAGTAATTTCACTTAAATGGCAATGAAGATTACCTATTAATTGTCATTTAAGTGAAATTACTGAACTTAAATATACAAGCTTGATAAAAATGACCATTCTAGAAGAAAATTTCAAATGGCATTTAGAGGCTTTTGCATCTGAACTCTTCATTTGTAATTGTGAGGAATAAGTACGGTAGGGCTGGTAACGTTACCACTTGAAAGTATTAAACTTCCTCAAACTGGTTCCTGAAACAACACCCACCCAAGTGCTCAGTATGTGTGAGAGTGTCCGGCTGTAAGTTTCCAGTCTTGACCACTGTGATTCTCTTTAGTCCAGCTGATGGCGACACTCGGACACACAAGTACATGCAGCACGGAACAGCGAGAAAGACAGGAAGTCGTTACCCGGAAATACATGTAGCACGCTTGTAAACAACTCGCGCAACCGACTGATCAGGGTGTAAAATATTGTCATCGTTTGTTGAATTTCACACAAGACATAAGGTAAATTAACGACTTATTGACTTAAAGCTGGACTTGTAAGAGATAACGTACTATTAATCTTAAAGCTAAGTCTACGTCAAATACAAGAAACGTTAACGTTACACAACTCAAATGGCAGTAACGTTACATATTTCATAACTGTCTGGTGTCTGTTATTTCATACATATATGTCTTCACTGTCACAGCAGTTTTTCTTCTTTTTTTTTTGTCTAATGTCTGTTTTTTGTGTTTGGGTATCACTAGTTTCCCCCCCATATTCACTGTTTTCAGGGCTAAATTATTGCTATATCTGATTGTATGTTTTTGAATCTCTTTATATGTAACTTTAGGTAAGTTAAAGCTGAAGATCATGTCAACAGAGGAGCCTAAAGTGGCGGAGGGGATCGTAGATCTCGAAGAGCCGAAGAAAATGACCCGTGAAGACTGGAGGAAGAAGAAAGAGCTGGAAGAACAGAGAAAATTGGGAAATGCTCCTGCTGAAGTTGACGAGGAGGGAAAGTATGTTGAGCCGAGCAAATTGAAATAAAACTTAAGCAGAATCTGAGCAGAATCAATGCACTGAGCCATCCATAGATATCAGGACTGTTATAGGTCTAAATAAAATGTGTGAATCTGTTTGATTTTATTGCCGTCATAAATCATGTAACTTTTTTAATAATATTTAATAATATTTGACCGTAATATTTTGTTACCAGGGATATCAACCCTCATATTCCCCAGTACATCTCATCTGTGCCTTGGTACATCGACCCATCAAAGAGACCCACCCTCAAGCACCAGAGACCACAGGATGAAAATCAGAGTCTATATGCGCCCATTGGAGATTGGTACAAGAGAGGTGTAAAAGAAGTAAGCATGGAAGTTTTAACATAGACATAATTTATGAACGTTATTTAATGTCTAAAACTTTTTCTGATTGCCTCCCTGTCAACTAGAAATCCGTCAGCACGAAATTCAGAAAAGGATCATGTGAAAACTGTGGTGCCATTACACATAAGAAGAAAGACTGTTTGGAGGTGAACAGTTTATAATATGTGTTGTGATGTTATTTATATGTTGGTCACATTCTTATGCTGCCTTCAGAATGGAATACTAGATTATTATTATTACTACTGAATACTATGCAGTGTATATTACCGTTCAAAAATTTTGGGTCAGTATTTATTTAGCAAAGATGCATTAATTTGATCAAAAGTGACAATAAAGACATTTATAATGTAAGAAATGGTTTCAAATTAAAGAAATGCTGTTCTTTTCAACTTTCTCTCAATCAAAGAATCCTGAAAAAAGTATCACGGTTTCCATACAAGTAAATTTAACTTGAAAATTATAGTAATATTTCACAATATTACTGTATTTTTGATCCAATAAATGCAGCCATTTGTCAACATAAGATACGTTTTCTTCAGAAACATATATATATATATATATATATATATATATATATAAAAATCATAAAAGTCTAGCCAACCCCAAACTTTTGAATGGTAAACACTTTTTTTGTCTGTCACAGAGACCCAGAAAGGTTGGAGCGAAGTATTCTGGCACTGGTATGGCACCAGATGAGCATGAACAGATTCAGCTCTCAATGGATTATGATGGAAAGAGAGATCGCTGGAATGGGTACGATCCCGATGAACACATGCGCATTGTAGAAGAATATTCAAAAGTTGATCTGGTAAGTCATGTTGTTGCTGGAAGTGTTTTGTGTATTTGTATTTATTCTATTATATTGATAGGCCATTGATGCGAACTCACTTAAGTTTTTTTCTTAGCAAAGAGAAGTTTTTGTCCCGTGACCATTTGCATACATTTTGTTGGAAGGGTCTTATTACTACATAGGCCAGTGGTTCCCAAACTTTTGGACACCCTGAAGCTTTTGTGACTGATGTGACAAATGTCAGATCCAGTGTGTTTTAAAGACAAGAAAATGATGAGGCATATCTCGCCCTTGGATTCACCAGTACGACGGTGGAGAATGAAGAGAGACCACAGAGGGTTGCAGGCCTCAAAATATTAACTTCTGACAGTAATAAGCCGAACAAGTTAAGAGCCACTCGGAGACTTTACTTCATGAACACAAAGTGCAGCCTATTAATAAGTTAATAAGTTGCAGTACTGTTTTAATAACATTTCAAATAAATCCTATAGGATTTTGCAAGCGAGGCCATGTCTGAGAGTCTCTTTATGTGGGTGCATATAAAAATATTTTTCTCTACCAAAGTTTGGGAACCACTTGTATAAGCCATAATGCATGTCTAATTTAATATATTATATATAATTTCTTTTTTAACAGGCTAAGCGTACTCTTAAAGCTCAGAAACTCCAGGAGGAGTTAGCTTCTGGTAAACTAATAGATGAAGCTGTAAGTATTCACAATTTTTCCATAATCATTTTATAACTATGCGGGAATTTATTTTTACAGCAACAACAAAAAAAAAGATAAAACATGTCAATCGTATACCATGAAAATCTTACTGTATGTTTGTCATAACCTTGTATTTGTTGAAATTAAACGTTAATGTCTTAACATCCTTCTAGAATTTGAGGAAGCATCTTGATGATGATGCAGCTCAGGTACATATCATGTTCAACTTAATCTTTATGTACATTTTGGACTATAAAACTTAAATTGTGGAGCCTCTGCACTCAATGAAATTTTCCTCACCCTGTCCAGGACCACAGCAGTGAAGATGAGGATGAGGACAAATATGTTGATGACTTTGACATGCCCGGACAAAACTTTGACTCCAAGAGACGAATCACAGTCAGAAACCTGAGAATCCGCGAGGACACCGCTAAGGTAAAAACATCTGGCAAATAATTTGACAAACCGATGTTAATCAAGGGCATGACACTATTTGTTTTTCTTTAAAAAAAAAGCCACACTTAAAAGTTCTAATAAAAATGTCCCAGAAGTATGATTTATAAGAGGATAAGTATGATCTCCTCAGCATAAGTAGTAGTAGCATATGAGTACACAATATTGTTAATGTAGTGCTGTATCATGTTTTTCCCAACAATTGCTGTCTTTATTTTACAGTATCTCAGAAATCTGGATCCAAATTCAGCCTACTATGATCCCAAGACTCGAGCCATGAGGGAGAACCCGTACTCCAACACTGGAAAGAATCCAGAAGAGTATGGGCATATATATATTTTTTTGTGCATGGAATCAAAATAAATGTGCTGATGTGAATATTAATGTAAAGTTGACTGTCCAAAATCATTACTTTTATGTTAGGGAAGTTATAGGCTTCTTATAGAAAGCTTGAACTTAAGCTTGCAGATTGTGTAATAAGTAGGGGTCTCTCACTAACTCAGTGGTTCTCAAAGTTTTTTGGTCACACACCCCTCTAAACCTTTAAAAATGTTGCTAAAAATGATTAAAAAAAAACTAAATTATTTTTTAAAAATTGATAAACGTGACATGTCAAACACCTGTAATAGTTTCACTTTGTAATGTCGTTGAATCATTGAAAAATATAACCGTAAGAGAGAATAATAGTTGGAAAATACCTTTTAATTGAAGTAAACAAAAATGTTAACATTCAGTGATGCTTTGGATGAACAATATATAATCAGTGGCTGCAGTGAGCTCGTTTGGTGAGCTCAGCTTCTTGTATGTCTTCTTGCATGCTCACAATATGAGCTTGTGATTCCACCCGCTGAAGAGGTGCTTTTCTATAGCGAAAAACTTCCATATTAGGCTTGTTCAGATGGTGACAAGTCAACGGTCTGAAGAAGCATGATTCAGTGGAATTGGCATTTGGTGCTGGTTAATAAAGGCATAGTACCATCCACTTCACACACTTGATTGTTGCCCCACAGTTTGTGAGGTAGACAGTTATTTAGTATACAACAAATTATACACCACTAAGACAGACCCAATTTTTTCTAATGGGACTATTAAATATTGGATTGTAAAAATAAAAATAGTCTGCTAGATGCCAAGGAAGCTGATGTTTAACTTGCTAAATTCCAGTAAGCTATTAAAGAAAAAATCACTATAAAATATCACCATAGGAGGTGTAATGGAACATTTAACTGTGCCTATTTCTGTAGTTGTTTCTTTGCCTGTTCACGAACTGACATGTTTGATTTGGCAGGGTGGGCTATGCTGGTGATAACTTTGTGCGCTACTCCGGAGACACCATTTCCATGGCCCAGACACAACGTGAGCAGTTTTGATTTGTCAACTCATACAAAAATTTCTCATTACCTGATGTTACAAATGGGCTCCAAACTCTGCTTGTTGGTCTAGCATTGTTTTGTGCATCTCTTCCGCAGTTTTTGCTTGGGAAGCCTATGAGAAGGGATCTGAAGTTCACCTCCAGGCAGATCCAACCAAGCTGCAACTTCTCCATCAATCTTACAGAGTCAAAAAGGACGATTTCAAAGAGAAGCAGAAAGAGACTATTTTGGAAAGGGTACATTGCAGAATCTCCTTTGTTGACAAGTGAAATAGCAAAATGTCCTCCTTCCCTTGCTCATTTGCTGATGGCTTCATGTTGCACTTCTCTGTAGTACGGTGGGGAGGAACACTTGGACGCCCCTCCGCGAGAGCTTCTGCTAGCTCAGACAGAGGAGTATGTGGAGTATTCTCGTCACGGGGCAGTGTTGAAGGGACAGGAGAAGGCTGTGGCCTGCTCCAAATACGAGGAGGACGTGCTCATTAACAACCACACGGTAATTTAGCTGGCACTACTGGGAGTGCTGCATAACTGGAGAAGCTAATAATGTTGGATTTTGTTTTGCAAATGTTAAATATTTTTTCCTTTGGCTTTTGCAGTGTATCTGGGGATCGTATTGGAAAGATGGATTTTGGGGTTACAAATGCTGCCACTCGATGGTGAAGCAAAGTTACTGTACTGGTGAAACTGGCAGGAAAGTAGTGGTGAGTATCAAATGTAGTTCCTGTAAATGGAACCATCCGTTCCGACTTGTAGTGTAAAAGTTTGTAATACAGGCAGCAAGAATCTGATTTTATTTTAATTATGAATTGTGTATAAAAACATGTATGTTATTACTTTTATTATTTATTATGTAATACATACTATTTGTATCACGCAGCTATTTCTATATGAAGAGTTCAGATGCAAAAACCTCTAAATGCCATTTGAAAATTTCTTCTATAATGATAATTTTTATCAAGCTTGCATATTTAAGTTCAGTGATTTCACTTAAATGGCAATGATAATTACCTATTAATTGTTATTTAAGTGAAATTACTGAACTTAAATATACAAGTTTGATAAAAATCATCATTAAAGAAGAAAATTTCAAATGGCATTTAGAGGCTTTTGCATCTGAACTCTTCAAGTCCACTGAGGTAAAAGGTGTTTTGACTTTTAGGGGCCTAAGATTAGGAACAAGGTTGCAAAATACTTGTAGTAAGAAAATAGTTTTTCATAATACATAAGGGCTTGACTCAAGTTTGTCAATATTTAATCAATAATCTTTAATCACTTGTAAGACTTTGTGCCTCATTTTGCTCTAATACTGATGTGGTGGGTCTGTAAACACTGGATTATTGGGGGTGATTTAATTAAATGTATATGAGACGGATATAAAGTTCACTCAGGATGATCCAGAATTTGTCATTATATTTGCTTCATTTGGTGTCACCTGATCAGCAAAAATAAGAAATCCTGTGAAAAGACTGTCAGTCCAGAATGGATCAAAAAACAGTCCATTTTGTTCTGAATAGAAGATCTGAAGCCAGACTTGATCTCCTTTTTGCAGCCTGAGTATTGTTGATCCTGAAGCCACATCATAATTTCCTGTGTTAGCGTCAAATGTTCTGATCTTGTACTGGCCATTGTGAACAAGCCCAATTGCCAGGTGTTTGTTAGCCAACGTGATGTCATATGTGAAGTAATACACACCAGGAATTACACAGTTAAACTTGCCACTGGTGGCATTGTAATGACCACCCTCGTTCATTAAAATCCGGTTAAAGCGAATGGGCGTGCGTTCCTTGGGATAGCTCTTAGTTACCGCAACAGAGAAAGCAGATCGTGCCTCTGTTCCACAGTCACAGCCCCCGGGGGCACCAGTTTCCCCCTTATTTCCCACCTCTCCTTTGATCCCAGGGACTCCAGACACACCAGGTGCCCCACGCACCCCTTTTAGGCCCCTTGGCCCTGCCTTCCCAACAAGTCCTGGCCGTCCTGGTTGTCCATGTTTTCCAGGGTTCCCAGTACGACCCTGTTCACCTGACATGTGAGAGTAAATATTCAAAAATTTGTACCACCTAATTTATAATATATAAATATAATATATAATCTTTAAAATGATAAAATATAATCTTTAATTTATACTTAAATATATTTCAAATTAACCTTGAGCTACAGAGATACTATAAATAAACAATTATATGAATAAAAATAAAAAGTAATTGAAATCAAAATGAATGCATATCAGGTCAAAAAAAAAAGGGCAATATAATTTTACATTTACATTGAAAAATACTGTATACAGTACCTGTCTCTCCCTTCTCTCCCCTGTCACCATCCTTGCCATCCTGGCCATCAACCCCCGGCATCCCCATCTTGCCTACGCTACCGCTGGGACCTGCTGTACCTGGACTCCCTGGAGGACCCTGAGGGCCTGGCAAACTGCAGCTAAGCTGAGATGAATGGATGGTGAAGTTGCGTCCCTTCTTGGATGAGTCTATAGTCACAGAGAACAGAGATAGCAGGCAAACAGCCAGTGGTAACTGATGCATGATGCAGCTGTGCCTGCAAAAACAGCAGATGGGGCCAGATTTGTGTTCTGGGGAATTTCCATGGATTTCCTTTATGTACATATAAAGAGTTGTGCACTGAAACAAGCACCAATAATCACATCATATACATGCAGGTTGTGAATAATGCAGTTCTTAGTAAACATTTAGGTTTTAAATCTAAGTAACTGAGCAAAGTACACAATTTAGCAACACATTTAAAGCATGCATTGGAAAAAGCCCTCACCAGAGTAATGAGATTTGCGTATCAATGGAAAAAAAGGTCCAGCTGCCCTTTTGGCAAAATCAAAAATCGGGAATATAAACAAGGCTTGTATCTTACATGTCCTCCACACAACTTTGCAAGCATCCACCCAGTTTTAGCACTGACATGCTCTGCCAGATAGTTCATCCATGATGTAATTGAACAAACTGTGGGAGGGGGAAAACTTGTCAGACTTTTACACTACTGCAGGCCACAAAACAATGAAAAATATCTTAAAGGGTTAGTTCACAAAAAAATAAAAATTCTGTCAGTATTTACTCACCCTCATGTTGTTCCAACCCCGTAAGACCTTCATCTTCGGAACACAAATTAAGATATTTAAGATATTAAGATCGCTCCTGCATACAGTCCATAGGCTTCTTGAGGGACTGGCTCTTGATGTCCTCGAAAAGTCATTAAAGACATCGTTAAAATAGTCCAAGTGACTACAGGGGCTCAATCTTAATTTTATCAAACGACGAAAACACATTTGTGCGCAAAAAAACAACAAAAATAACGACTTTATTTCAACTATTCACTTCATTCTCCATGAGCCTGTAAGTCAGTTAACGTAGTGTGATTGCGTAGAGCTACGTCACACGTAGGCTCACTATTGGCCGACGCTGGTCATGTGTGTGTGATGCGTGTGACGTACAATAACAGAAGCTTACGCTATTAAACTAGTAACCTGACTCGCGCAGAGGGAGAAATAAACGAATAGTTGAAATAAAGTCGTTATTTTTGTTGTTTTTTTGCGCACAAAAGTGTTCTCGTCGTTTGATAAACTTAAGATTGAGCCCCTGTAGTCACTTGGAGTATTTTAATGATGTCTTTAATGACTTTTCGGGGACAGCAAGAGCCAGTCCCTCAAGAAGCCTATGGACTGTATGCAGGAGCGATCTTAATATCTTAAATATCTTAATTTGTGTTCCGAAGATGAAGGTCTTACGGGGTTGGAACAACATGAGGGTGAGTAAATACTGACAGAATTTTTATTTTTTTGTGAACTAACCCTTTAAGATATTTTTCATTGTTTTGTGGCCTGCAGTAGTGTAAAAGTCTGACAAGTTTTCCCCCTCCCACAGTTTGTTCAATTACATCATGGATGAACTATCTGGCAGAGCATGTCAGTGCTAAAACTGGGTGGATGCTTGCAAAGTTGTGTGGAGGACATGTAAGATACAAGCCTTGTTTATATTCCCGATTTTTGATTTTGCCAAAAGGGCAGCTGGACCTTTTTTTCCATTGATACGCAAATCTCATTACTCTGGTGAGGGCTTTTTCCAATGCATGCTTTAAATGTGTTGCTAAATTGTGTACTTTGCTCAGTTACTTAGATTTAAAACCTAAATGTTTACTAAGAACTGCATTATTCACAACCTGCATGTATATGATGTGATTATTGGTGCTTGTTTCAGTGCACAACTCTTTATATGTACATAAAGGAAATCCATGGAAATTCCCCAGAACACAAATCTGGCCCCATCTGCTGTTTTTGCAGGCACAGCTGCATCATGCATCAGTTACCACTGGCTGTTTGCCTGCTATCTCTGTTCTCTGTGACTATAGACTCATCCAAGAAGGGACGCAACTTCACCATCCATTCATCTCAGCTTAGCTGCAGTTTGCCAGGCCCTCAGGGTCCTCCAGGGAGTCCAGGTACAGCAGGTCCCAGCGGTAGCGTAGGCAAGATGGGGATGCCGGGGGTTGATGGCCAGGATGGCAAGGATGGTGACAGGGGAGAGAAGGGAGAGACAGGTACTGTATACAGTATTTTTCAATGTAAATGTAAAATTATATTGCCCTTTTTTTTTTGACCTGATATGCATTCATTTTGATTTCAATTACTTTTTATTTTTATTCATATAATTGTTTATTTATAGTATCTCTGTAGCTCAAGGTTAATTTGAAATATATTTAAGTATAAATTAAAGATTATATTTTATCATTTTAAAGATTATATATTATATTTATATATTATAAATTAGGTGGTACAAATTTTTGAATATTTACTCTCACATGTCAGGTGAACAGGGTCGTACTGGGAACCCTGGAAAACATGGACAACCAGGACGGCCAGGACTTGTTGGGAAGGCAGGGCCAAGGGGCCTAAAAGGGGTGCGTGGGGCACCTGGTGTGTCTGGAGTCCCTGGGATCAAAGGAGAGGTGGGAAATAAGGGGGAAACTGGTGCCCCCGGGGGCTGTGACTGTGGAACAGAGGCACGATCTGCTTTCTCTGTTGCGGTAACTAAGAGCTATCCCAAGGAACGCACGCCCATTCGCTTTAACCGGATTTTAATGAACGAGGGTGGTCATTACAATGCCACCAGTGGCAAGTTTAACTGTGTAATTCCTGGTGTGTATTACTTCACATATGACATCACGTTGGCTAACAAACACCTGGCAATTGGGCTTGTTCACAATGGCCAGTACAAGATCAGAACATTTGACGCTAACACAGGAAATTATGATGTGGCTTCAGGATCAACAATACTCAGGCTGCAAAAAGGAGATCAAGTCTGGCTTCAGATCTTCTATTCAGAACAAAATGGACTGTTTTTTGATCCATTCTGGACTGACAGTCTTTTCACAGGATTTCTTATTTTTGCTGATCAGGTGACACCAAATGAAGCAAATATAATGACAAATTCTGGATCATCCTGAGTGAACTTTATATCCGTCTCATATACATTTAATTAAATCACCCCCAATAATCCAGTGTTTACAGACCCACCACATCAGTATTAGAGCAAAATGAGGCACAAAGTCTTACAAGTGATTAAAGATTATTGATTAAATATTGACAAACTTGAGTCAAGCCCTTATGTATTATGAAAAACTATTTTCTTACTACAAGTATTTTGCAACCTTGTTCCTAATCTTAGGCCCCTAAAAGTCAAAACACCTTTTACCTCAGTGGACTTGAAGAGTTCAGATGCAAAAGCCTCTAAATGCCATTTGAAAATTTCTTCTATAATGATAATTTTTATCAAGCTTGTATATTTAAGTTCAGTGATTTCACTTAAATGGCAATGATAATTACCTATTAATTGTTATTTAAGTGAAATTACTGAACTTAAATATACAAGTTTGATAAAAATCATCATTAAAGAAGAAAATTTCAAATGGCATTTAGAGGCTTTTGCATCTGAACTCTTCATATATTTATCTCACACGAATCTGTTTTTTCAGAATAATTCTTGTGTTCCGTTTGAAGAGGATGAACAGGAGGCCGAAACGAGTGAAGAACCAAAGACTCTTTTACAGGTACGTTAACAGCCATCCCGTTTTTGTGAAATGATTACTGTAGAAGAACATGACAGGAAGATGATTGTATTAAACAAAACAAAAAAATACACAGATGCACCAGGACAAAATGAAAGACAAGAAAAAGAAGAAAAAGAGCAAGAAACACAGAGATTCTGACAGCAGTGATGAGGAGGATGAAGCAAAAAAGAAAGAAAAGTTGAAGAAGGTGGGTGGACCGTTTCTTTTTAATGCCACACACACTTTTATCGTCATGTGCTAAATGCATCTGTGCTCTACATAGCCTATTGTAAAGGAAAACAATGTGTCTTTTTGTGCAGGCATTGAATGCGGAGGAGCAGAGGTTGAAGCAGGTGGCTGAACTGATGCAGATTGATGAGAGGAAGCGGCCGTACAACAGCCTAAAGGACGTCCGTGAACCCACAGAGGAGGAGATGGAAGCCTTCCGCATGAAACGTTACCGAGCCGATGACCCCATGGCCTCTTTCCTGGGGCAGTGAATCAAAAAATATATGTCTTTTGTCCCCAACCAGAGATTTCATAGTCTCAGTTAGTGTAAAATCTGTTTTTGCGGAATCGGTGTTATACAAAGAAAGTTGTTTTAAAAAATATGAATTGGAAAAGTCCTATATTAGTAGCTTGTGACAGTCATTTAGAACCAGCAGTTTTTCAATTCTTTTGGCTTTGTATAAATCTGTTGTGTTCTTTTGTTTTTGGGCAAGTTAGTAAATCAAGAATTTGTTTTCTCAATGTCTTCCTAACAATAAGTGTTGTTTTTATCTTGACAGTACATAAACCTTGTTTTATTAGTTGTTTAAGAGCCCAATTAATTACAAATCGATTGTTTGGTGAATCATCTGTTTTGATAGGTTCAATTCTCTCTTTCCAAGGCATTTAAATGGAAGCATGATTCAAATAACCTGAGCAGTGGTTAACATTAAATATTTATACCTAAACATGGCTTTGTTTGGTTTATGCCTTTGTTTATTCCACATGCTAAATTTCTTTAGCAAATACTCAGAAGTGTTTGAAGGTACACTTTACACAGCTCTTTCTTGGAGCTTTTATGCAATAATATTAAAGGGTTAGTTCACCCAAAAATGAAAATTCTGTCAGTATTTACTCACCTTCATGTTGTTCCAACCCCGTAAGACCTTCATTCATCTTCGGAACACAAATTAAGATATTTAAGATCGCTCCTGCATACAGTCCATAGGCTTCTTGAGGGACTGGCTCTTGATGTCCTCGAAAAGTCATTAAAGACATCGTTAAAATAGTCCAAGTGACTACAGGGGCTCAATCTTAATTTTATCAAACGACGAAAACACATTTGTGCGCAAAAAAACAACAAAAATAACGACTTTATTTCAACTATTCGTTTATTTCTCCCTCTGCGCGAGTCAGGTTACTAGTTTAATAGCGTAAGCTTCTGTTATTGTACGTCACACGCATCACACACACATGACCAGCGTCGGCCAATAGTGAGCCTACGTGTGACGTAGCTCTACGCAATCACACTACGTTAACTGACTTACAGGCTCATGGAGAATGAAGTGAATAGTTGAAATAAAGTCGTTATTTTTGTTGTTTTTTTGCGCACAAAAGTGTTCTCGTCGTTTGATAAACTTAAGATTGAGCCCCTGTAGTCACTTGGAGTATTTTAATGATGTCTTTAATGACTTTTCGGGGACAGCAAGAGCCAGTCCCTCAAGAAGCCTATGGACTGTATGCAGGAGCGATCTTAATATCTTAAATATCTTAATTTGTGTTCCGAAGATGAAGGTCTTACGGGGTTGGAACAACATGAGGGTGAGTAAATACTGACAGAATTTTTATTTTTTTGTGAACTAACCCTTTAAGATATTTTTCATTGTTTTGTGGCCTGCAGTAGTGTAAAAGTCTGACAAGTTTTCCCCCTCCCACAGTTTGTTCAATTACATCATGGATGAACTATCTGGCAGAGCATGTCAGTGCTAAAACTGGGTGGATGCTTGCAAAGTTGTGTGGAGGACATGTAAGATACAAGCCTTGTTTATATTCCCGATTTTTGATTTTGCCAAAAGGGCAGCTGGACCTTTTTTTCCATTGATACGCAAATCTCATTACTCTGGTGAGGGCTTTTTCCAATGCATGCTTTAAATGTGTTGCTAAATTGTGTACTTTGCTCAGTTACTTAGATTTAAAACCTAAATGTTTACTAAGAACTGCATTATTCACAACCTGCATGTATATGATGTGATTATTGGTGCTTGTTTCAGTGCACAACTCTTTATATGTACATAAAGGAAATCCATGGAAATTCCCCAGAACACAAATCTGGCCCCATCTGCTGTTTTTGCAGGCACAGCTGCATCATGCATCAGTTACCACTGGCTGTTTGCCTGCTATCTCTGTTCTCTGTGACTATAGACTCATCCAAGAAGGGACGCAACTTCACCATCCATTCATCTCAGCTTAGCTGCAGTTTGCCAGGCCCTCAGGGTCCTCCAGGGAGTCCAGGTACAGCAGGTCCCAGCGGTAGCGTAGGCAAGATGGGGATGCCGGGGGTTGATGGCCAGGATGGCAAGGATGGTGACAGGGGAGAGAAGGGAGAGACAGGTACTGTATACAGTATTTTTCAATGTAAATGTAAAATTATATTGCCCTTTTTTTTTTGACCTGATATGCATTCATTTTGATTTCAATTACTTTTTATTTTTATTCATATAATTGTTTATTTATAGTATCTCTGTAGCTCAAGGTTAATTTGAAATATATTTAAGTATAAATTAAAGATTATATTTTATCATTTTAAAGATTATATATTATATTTATATATTATAAATTAGGTGGTACAAATTTTTGAATATTTACTCTCACATGTCAGGTGAACAGGGTCGTACTGGGAACCCTGGAAAACATGGACAACCAGGACGGCCAGGACTTGTTGGGAAGGCAGGGCCAAGGGGCCTAAAAGGGGTGCGTGGGGCACCTGGTGTGTCTGGAGTCCCTGGGATCAAAGGAGAGGTGGGAAATAAGGGGGAAACTGGTGCCCCCGGGGGCTGTGACTGTGGAACAGAGGCACGATCTGCTTTCTCTGTTGCGGTAACTAAGAGCTATCCCAAGGAACGCACGCCCATTCGCTTTAACCGGATTTTAATGAACGAGGGTGGTCATTACAATGCCACCAGTGGCAAGTTTAACTGTGTAATTCCTGGTGTGTATTACTTCACATATGACATCACGTTGGCTAACAAACACCTGGCAATTGGGCTTGTTCACAATGGCCAGTACAAGATCAGAACATTTGACGCTAACACAGGAAATTATGATGTGGCTTCAGGATCAACAATACTCAGGCTGCAAAAAGGAGATCAAGTCTGGCTTCAGATCTTCTATTCAGAACAAAATGGACTGTTTTTTGATCCATTCTGGACTGACAGTCTTTTCACAGGATTTCTTATTTTTGCTGATCAGGTGACACCAAATGAAGCAAATATAATGACAAATTCTGGATCATCCTGAGTGAACTTTATATCCGTCTCATATACATTTAATTAAATCACCCCCAATAATCCAGTGTTTACAGACCCACCACATCAGTATTAGAGCAAAATGAGGCACAAAGTCTTACAAGTGATTAAAGATTATTGATTAAATATTGACAAACTTGAGTCAAGCCCTTATGTATTATGAAAAACTATTTTCTTACTACAAGTATTTTGCAACCTTGTTCCTAATCTTAGGCCCCTAAAAGTCAAAACACCTTTTACCTCAGTGGACTTTTAGTCCTGTTAGACATTCATGACCTTTGACCTTCTAAAAGGCTGATGTTCTGTTAATAATTGTTTCCCCCCCCCCTCATTCTATTGTTTATTTACTTTTCACATCTAATCATGTATTTACTATGGTTCAAAGGTTAAGTGTGACTTTATCTTATTGGAACATGCTGTCACTACTAGAGATAAGTGTCATTTTGTCTGAAAATAGCAGTCAATGCTGCTGTCATCATCTAATCAATTCATGAGCAAAAACACTGCTGACATATACAGTGCAGTAATTAAACCTACGGTTATTCAAGTGATCGTTAAAGGATATGTAAAGACATTATGCTTATGGGTAATGGACAAAAGGAACTGTACTGCACTAATTACTGTTACGATGGCAACAGTTTCAGAGGGTCGATTAACGTTACCACATTTTGATGTCCAATGACCACCAGAGTAATGAAGAGCAAGCAGTTGTACTAAATTGTACTATTTTACATTTAATATTGTTGAATAACAATCATCAAATACACTGTACATGTTCACCAACAAAGGATTAACACAAATGCAAAGAAAATGTACACATGAAGAGCATATGCCTGCACAAAATAAACAGTGAATTATTTCAACAGATTTTAATTTCAAGGAAACAGATGTCAGCTTGTCTTGTGAGTTAAGAAAAAGATTGCAACAGTCTCAGGTCCTGGTGTAAATGCAAGTGTAACGTTATAATCTAGGATGTGTATTACTGAATATTTATCTGGCTGGTGTATGACTCTCAAATCAATAAATAATGTAAGCAGTAACATATAATTGTATAGCTGTGCAATTAACATTGCAGAGACATTACAGCTCTTAGTTATATGGCTGATCACATTTGCCACTATTAAAATATATTTCACACAATCAGGTAACCGCACTCTCATAAAACATAAAA